GTTAATGAGGGCGATGGGTCGGTATCCCTTGGCCAAAGACAGGTCCCCCCCGGGCTTGGGGATCGGGACCACCTTGGCAGCCCTCCATGAAGACGGGTGAGAGCCAGAGCGAACGTGTGTGTGTGTGTGTGTGTGTGTGTGTGTGTGTGTGTGTGTGTGTGTGTGTGTGTGTGTGTGTGTGTGTGTGTGTGTGTGTGTGTGTGTGTGTGTGTGTGTGGCTGTGTGTGTGTGTGTGTGTGTGTGTGTGTGTGTGTGTGTGTGTGTGTGTGTGTGTGTGTGTGTGTGTGTGTGTGTGTGTGTGTGTGTGTGTGTGTGTGTGTGTGTGTGTGTGTGTGTGTGTGTGTGTGTGTGTGTGTGTGTAATTCCATGATTACATGCAGGACAAAGCAATGTTTCTGCCAAAGCCCTTGCACCAGAGGTATGTAGGCACTAGAGTCCACAGCAGAAATCAAAACCGAACAGCAGTGTCCCAAGAGAGCTAGCAAAACGAAAGGAAAGCAGGGAATGTCCCAGAAAAACCACAGAGTGTTCCCAAGGTAAAAGCGTAGGGGGTGCTCAAGAAACCCCAGGCAGACAGCGAAGCAAAAAGTAAACCACAAGAAGCAGACACACACCACAATAGAAAGGAAACACAGAAACAAAACCCAGAAGGTCACCAGAACCCAGAATGCCACCAGAACCAGAAGCAACAAACCCCAGCAAAACATGTTCCAGGAGCTGATAGCCAAAAGGCTAAGGGACTAGGGCCGCAGTAGGAACAAATTCCACCCACGACCCCTCCAAAAACGCAAAAAGCCGATAGCCCCGGCGCCAAATGGCGCGCACATTATCCCCAAGGAACCTGTCATACGCCCCTCTCAGCTGCCGCTTCCACTCAAGCTGGGCAGCTGAGAGGTCGTGGTACAGGCGCAGGCCCTGCAATTCCCGCGGGCAATCAGCGGAGTATAATCGGCCCTTTGATTTAAGCAATTCCACCTTGTCCCCCAATCGATGAAACCTCAAAATGACCGGCCGCGGCCGATCCGCCGCGAAGCGGCCCACCCGCCAGGCATCCGCCACGTGCCCCCGCCGTCCGACCAGGCCCGCCACGACGAGGTCCACCGCCTGCGCCAGCGAGCTGGGGGTCTCGGTGGGCGAGTCAGGCAGGCCGCGAAGGCAGACCTGCCGGCGCCGGATCTCCGCCTGGAGGTCCAGCACCTCATCGAGGCGGGCGGGGCGAATGGAGGCAGCAGCATGGGAGCGCCGGCGAGCTTCGGCCGGGTCCGGTAAGGGCGGCGCGCAACGGCCACGGAGGGCGGGCATCGAGGAAGACGGCCGCGGGGGGGCTTGGGCGGAAGGGGAAGGGCCGGGCAGCCGGTCGCCCGGGGAAAAAGGCGGAGCATCCGCGCGGGGCCTCTTGCCAGGAGGCGATGACGGGCTTGGGGAGCGCCGAGAGCCGGCGGAGCCATGGGCTGCGTCAAAGTCCGAAGCGCCCGAAGCATGGGGCGCGATCAGGCGGCCAGAACAGAGGGCCGTGGCCAGGCGACCGCGGCGCGCAGGATCCCCGCGGGAATCAAGCGGCGCAGGCGCCAGAACCGGCGGGCGCCGCAAAGGCGCGGAACCCGCCGCGGCCGCCGCCCCAAGGGCGGATAGATGGGCCTCCAAGCGAACCAGCAGCTGCGGCTTGGTGTCATTGCGATTGGCAGGGAGTCCTGCGACGTGGCACTCCTCGATCAAGGTAGCCTTGGTCGCGCCTCGCAGGTCAGCCAGCGCGGTAGCCACCATGGCATGGATGCGGTCCGCGTGGGCCGAAGCCGACGTAATTGCACCCCCCGATGCCTCCGCAACGGGTGCCGCAGCGACCACCAAGGCTTGGGCATCGGCAGGACACGCAGGCTGGGCCGAAGGGGCATCAGAATCCATGGCAACGCAGTAAAAGGGCAACGGGCCCGGGGGCCCAAAACGAGCAGGAAACGGTCAGCGAGAGTGTGTGTGTGTGTGTGTGTGTGTGTGTGTGTGTGTGTGTGTGTGTGTGTGTGTGTGTGTGTGTGTGTGTGTGTGTGTGTGTGTGTGTGTGTGTGTGTGTGTGTGTGTGTGTGTGTGTGTGTGTCAAATGTCAATTACACATGCATGGCTAAAGTCCCCCTTTTCCTCACACAATCTGGGAGCTATAGAGGGAGCCCTGGGACAGCACAAGAATGGTTCACCGTTCAGCACATCGAGTGTCAAATTCTAGTGTTCCAGTGATTTAGCAAAGTGTCCAACCTTAAGGACCAGCCCAGCCACCAAAGAGAATTTCCAGGAAAATGGCGTATGAAAGAGAGCCCCTCACCAACAAGTTGTAAACGAAAGGGAAACCCAAAAGTTGCTCACCGAGACCCAGAACGAAAACTAAAAGCAAAGTATCCAAAACCACACCCCAAAATGCGCATAAAGTACAGTAGGCCCAAGTACCTAATGTACAAGGGCCGATTGGGGGTAGAACTCCACCCACACCCCCTCCAGGAGGGCGAACAGGCGGTAGCCCCGCCTCCACACCACTCGCGTATTGGCCTCAAGGAACGCATCGTACGCCCCCCTCAGCCGCCGTTTCCAGTCGAGCTGGCCCGCGCTCAGGTCGTGGTACAGCCGGAGGGGCGTCCCACTCTCCTCCACCCACTCTTTCAGGATATCACTAATCGCATCACCGTACAGCACCCCCTTCCCCCTCAGAACCCGCACTTTGTCACACAACCGCTGAAAGCGGATGATGATAGGGCGGGGGCGCTCCGGCGCATACCGCCCCACCCGCCAACAGTCTGACACCACCACCGCCCCGTCCTCCGGGTCCGCCAGCTCCGCCACCACCACCTCGACGCGCGCCAAGAGCTCCTCCGGCGTCTCGTCGTGGCAGTCCACGAGACCGCGCAGGCAGCATTGCCAGCGCCGCAGCTCCCCTTGGAGCTCGAACAGTTCATCGAGGCGGGCCGGCCGCGCCGAAGCGGCGGCATGGGACCGGCGCCGGGCATCCACCGGGTCTGTCATGGAGGCAGCGGGGCAAGCAGGGCAGTGGTGCCCAGCGCCGATCGGCCCCGCGGAGGGTGCAGCAGCGGCGGGGGAAGCCGGGTAGGGTGCCGCGGATGGAAGGAAAGGGGGGGCATCAGCGCGGGGGCGCTTGCCCGCCGGCGGAACCGGCGATGAGCCGCGGGAGCCGGAGGCGGGGGCCGCGCCGGCCTCCGGGGAAAAGCATCCGGGGTCGGTCGACCCGCTCGGCCCGTCAGGGGGAGTGGCGGGATGGGACGCAGGCAGGAGGGCCTGGCCCTCCGAGGCGCTAGGCACCGCTACCCAGCCCAAATGGCCGTGGCGCGCGGCAGAATCGGCGCGCACCGCCTCCTCCGCGTGCCCCCTCAGATCGGCCGCGAGGCGGGCCATAAGCTTGCGCTTCGTGTCGTCATTGTTGCCGGGTAGTCCGGCCGCATGGCAAAGCCGAAGAAGCTCCGCCTTGGAGGCCCCAGAATGGCGGGCATCCGCCGATCCACGAAGGCGGCGGCGGCGGCGCGTTCTCGGTCATCAAGCGGGGGGCGGGTGGCGGGAACGAAAGCGACCGGAGCCGCCCCCGTCCCACCCCCCAGGCCCGCTGCCTGGGAGCCCTCAGCGGCGGTGGCGGCCTCAGGGTCCATGGGAAACTAGCCAGAAAGGGGGCTGGACCCGGGGGCCCAGAAACGCAGGTCGGACACGGTGTGTGTGTGTGTGTGTGTGAGGGATACCGATAAGGCGGAAATATAATTAACTATTCTGTTAATGAGTTTCTGCCAAGGACAACATTGGGTGGGCGCGCACCAGCCATGCTGGGCCGGGCTGCCTTTCTGGGCCATTTTAAGGCCATCACACACCAGTTTCTGTCACCCCTATACCCGGGGTCAGTTTTGACCGCCAAATCCAAGGGGCAACCGGGTGATCCTTGTAACTTGGGGGCGAGACAAGGGGACCGGTGAAGTTGGCCCTTGGGTTTGGCGGGAGTTTGGCGGCAAGTGCGAACGGCTATTTGTGACCCTTGGCGCCCCCTTTATCTTGTTCACACCCACCCGGCCCACCCTAATAGAGTGAGTTTCGGTATGTTTATGGAACGGAGAGGGAGTTGAGTACGGGAAAAGGGAGCTGACTCAGGGTTGAGTCACCATCAGTGTGGCATTTAGTACTATGCGAAATGAGGGCACATTTCAAGTGGGTCGCCAATCGGGTCTGGTATTGTGAGGTGATGGACACCAGTACATTTGTGAGTGTGTCTTGTCGTGTGGGGAACAACAGGGGGGAGGGTTTGGGGTTGGTGAGGCAGAAATGCGCCACTCTGCGTCTGCTAACAGCACCAAGCGAACAGCACCACATTTGTGTGTTTAGAACGCATGATGCAAGGGAAGGTTGATCGACTAGCTTTATCGGCTAGTTTTATGTGTTGAAGTACCTCGCACTAAAGCATGCAAGATACTTCTCCAAGGACGCTCCACCTGCAAACAAAACACGGCAACCGGGCTTCATTGGCCATGAAAGAACAATTACAAGCTTGTTATGTACAGATAGCACGCAACTGCACTTTGACACATGTAACCAGGCAAAGGTGATAAAAAACAACGCCTGCACACACCCCACGAATTGCAAGCATTGCCGCCTCTCTGCACCCATTTGCCCCCATCAACCCTTTGCCTGATTGGCACATGCCCCAAGACACGAGTCACCCAAAAAACAAGTGAAGAGGCCAGTTGCAGATGTCAGTTCCTACCCATGTGTTGATTATCATGAAGACCTGCTGTGCCTGCAAAATGAGCTAATGCTATGGAAAATGTGCGTAGAAATCGAGTGCTGCCTCGCATTCCACTCAGCAAAGAAAAATGGCCACTAATGTCGATGTGTGGCAACAATGTTGGCTTCACTGGCGCAACCCAAGAAGTATGCTGCCTTCACCAAACTCTATCCACCATCGATACACTACCAATGTCAAGAATACTGGTTATACGATGATCAACGATGTGCTTCTATCCTGCACATCACTTTGCATGGCTGAGGTGTACATTGCCCCCTTCCGCAGGCAAGACAGTCATCATGTACTGGTTGGTCGCCTTGTCCAATGCAACAACGCGCTGCTGGGGGAGATTCACAGCAGCCTGTAGAATGTGCGGGGACCCTCCAAGGGTGCCGATATCCATGCCTTGATTCGCCACACCACCAGGTGTCACCATAACCTGTGATAGTCCGCCAAACTGACCCCCTTGAGTGCCCGAGACCACCAACCTCTTGAGTTCATTGACGTGGGAAGGGCTCATGTGGGAGCCATGTAGAGCTGCCGCTGCTGTCAGGGCATCTGTTGTAGGCTTCTGGCACATGGGAACGCCAGACTGCAGCGCCAATGTGATGGCATATGGCGAGTTGGCGATGGGCCTTGCGAGGGCCTCAGAGTGACCCACACCTACATCCACAGGTGTCTTCTGCTGGCAAGGAAGGGAGGGCACGATGGAAGGAGCAGACTGCACAATGACTGGCATGTTCGATCCCAAGCCCTGCAGAGCTGTGCCAGATGGGGCCAAGCTGTGAGCCAGGGCTGCCTGCAGTTGCTGCTGCACTGGTGATGTCACGTCCTGACTCGTCAAGCCAATAGCGTTGTTGTCATTTGTAGGTATCAAAGCCACGGTGCCTCCCCCTCCCACCTGTAGGCCCTGCACGAGCTGGGCAGCTGATGCTGCAGGGATGAGGATGATGGGAACCGTTGCAACAGGGCTCTGGCCCTTGGACAGAGGTTGCTGCGGCTGCCCAGGTGTGACAGCCTCTGCCTTTGCCCTCAGAAGAGCATCAGCCTGCTCAACATCCTGGGCACCTCTGACATCTCCACTAACAAGCCCGTCTGCATCTGTGGGCACGATCTGATCAAGTACTACCTGGTAGTCAATCCCCGCACTGCCACACGCGGCCTCCAATGCACCCTGCGACTTTGGTATCGATGCAACAATGTTCTGTCCATCTTCCCCTTTGATCAGTGTCTTGAATGCGCTCCGAGCACCCCCAACCTGAACTTGAGACCTCTGGAATCCAGATGAGCCATGAACTCCAAAACGCGACTGTGGATGGTCTTGATTTTGGGAAGACTCTCGCCCTGCGCTAGACGACCGATAGGCATGAGCTCGCACAGCCTCTCCCAGCACAGTATCCTGCAGAAAGGGTATGCCATCAATTGTTACCAAGACAAATCACAAACTGTACGGCTGCTTCCCAAGCAACAAGTGCGCCCTCTTCACTACTAGCCACAAAACAGTTACACAAGCAACTTGCTCGTCATAATGGCCCACTATGACACATGTAATACATATGTCTGAGAAGACTAAACATTTGAGTGATTGTGCAGCTATGGGCAGCAGGGGCATAGCACAGGCAAGCTAGATGCCAGCGTCCCCCCATCTGAGCTCTACCTTGCATGCAACGGCTTCCTCTGTGCTATCCACGTTGGTGTCATCGCATACCCAAAGGGAACCGGGATACCTTCCGAACTGAGACATGCACATAAGGCGTCATCTCTGGTTGGGCATCACAAACAAACTGCAGAGAATCCAAATAGTGCAGTTGGTGCCATCACCACAACGGATAGCACTGCCTTGCTCAACCATATTGGTCTATATCTATGTCATAGACAAGACTCCACACAACAATCAGAGAAAACATGTAGTGTGGGGCACATGCACATCAAAACAAGAGAAGAATGCAATCCATACCAACACGGACACCACTATCCTTTAGGACGGTGCTAATCCAAAGAATTCCAGCACTTTCACTGCCGTTGGAGGTGTCTTGTCACCCCGCATCCATCTGTGTTGTAGTCGTATTGTACATTGGTAGGCATGTGAACAGATGATCGCATTTGAAAGCCAGGCGGCCGATGAGACAACCATATCCGGGGGGCATACTGTTGGTTTTTAAACCCTTCCACATAGTAACATAACGCCGGGGCCTTTTTCGCGGGGTCGATGAATAAAAAGGTAACGGTGCCGGAGCGAGATGCGGAGCAGCCGAATTTAGTAACGGCCGGGGCGCGGCTTTGGGACGGGCTTGGCGCCGGCACCTAGCAGGCCACTGGGCGATCGATCGGCAGGCAGCCAGGCGCCTGCCGCTTGCCATCCAGGTGGCTCGGGCCGCGAACCTTGAGAAGCGATCGCAGGGGAGCATGGGCGATCGATGGGCAGGCAGGCAGGCGCCCGCAGCTTGCCATCCGGTCGGCTCGGGCCTCGAACCTTGGGAAGCGATCGCAGGGGAGCGTGGGCGATCGATCGGCAGGCAGGCGCCCGCCGCTTGCAATCCGGGCGGCTCGGGTATCCAACGTTGGGAAGCGATCGCAAGGGAGCGTGGGCGCTGATGCCGAAGTTGCCAACACGGAATGGCACAGGCGGGGAGTGGGGACGATCGGCGGGCGCGCGCAGATTGACCAATGGCCGGCCGGAGGGGGGGACCGTCAAGGGGGCCCTTGGGGAGTTTCCCCCGTGCAATGAGCGTGAATGGGATGAGCCGGGCGGATGAGGCAAGGTATTCAAAGAAGCACAAAAGTTCAGGCAAGGGAACCGGCTTTTATGTAACCGCAAATTTCTCAAGGGGCGATCGATCCCCAGAGCTGGGTGGTTGGTGTCGCATGGTGCACACACGGACGAGGTTGGGGACTCGTCTGTTGCACCTAAAACTTGGGATACAGCCTCTAGAGCCCCCTTGGAGCCCGCGTGACATGATGCGAGCAAAAATGAAAATAACATAACAATTCGGGACGAAAATGTAGAGCAAATACGTAACGGTTGGGATGGACCAATGCTGAAGGGTCGAATATCCCACATTACATTAAATCCGACCCGACCTCTGACATTTACATTGGCGGCGCCCATGTAATGGCCCGATACGGTGGGCGTATGTACGGTCGCTAGCCAAGCGCACGCGCAAACGCCCATGTGGTTGGTGCCCAACATCGAGCGGCCAGTTGGAAGAGTTCCTGGTGGGGCGAGGACCACCGCCTCACGTCCCGTCCCCAGAAACGGGTCCCAAGAGCTCTCTGCTCTCTGCTGACATGTTGCACGAAGCAAGATCGCTGCAAGAACGCCGCCGACAAGACGCCTTCTGGACAAATTGGCGAAACGCCATGCGCTGAGGCCAGACGTCGCAAATGTGCAGTGTGCAGGCGCTCCAGCATAACGGTGGCGGCTGGCTCGGCGGGTGCCAAAGGCATCGCAGCAGTCGTGGTGCCTTTGGGGCCCACCGGGCAAGCCCTTTCTGCGCCCCGCATTGAAAACTCCGGGCGGGCACAAGGACCATGCAACAGGGCAAGGTCCTACAAGGCGCTCACCGGCTCTGCATCAAGGTAGGTGGGGAGGGTGTGCGCCTGAAGTGCCTGAAGCCGCGTTCCCATGGGGAAGGGGCGACGCTAGGGGGTGCCACTGTACGATGAAAGGAAAATTGCACGTAGCTGGTGCACACAAGGTGGGGGGCACTGGGGAAGACGAGGGGAAACCTAGGATCCTAAGGTCACAGAGCCAGGCTGGGCGCGGAATTCTAAAACCGCATGGAGGGAAAGCCACATGACACGGTTTCTGGCGCAGAAACAGCGGCACAACGGAAGGTGTTGTCTCTGTCGAGGTCGCTCAATGTGAAGCCGATATTGCTTCAGCCGTGCGCACTAGCCGCGGGTTTGGCAGTGCTCCATTCCTTCTGTAGCTCTTTACGTTAGTTTTCTAGCGAACCCCACCCCTGTAGTTCCCGCCGACTGCCAACTCTAAATACGGCAGTGCTTAGCCGCCTCTGGGGCCAATGATCCGGGGTTTGGCCACAGCCCATCGGCTGCCTGTCCGCCCCGCCGATCCAACCCCCACCACATGGCGATCCTCGGCCCCAAACGCAGCGAACCATAACCTTTGGGGCTGCCGATCGACAGGCAGTGCTCCTCGCCCCACCGGGAACTCCCCAGCTGGCCGCTCGACGTTGCGCACCAACGACCAGGGGGCGTTTGCGAGTGTATCGGGCCATTATGTGGGCGCCGCCAATGTAAATGCCAGAGGTCGGGTCGGATTTAACGTATGCCCATCTGGGCGCAACCCACACCTTGCGTATGGGATTCCTGATCCCCTGACGCACATGGATGGAACAACGAACTCCCAGCCATGCACGCGCAATGCATCGACCCCAACGCGGTCCCGTGCGACGCAATCAAGCCGCTGGTCTGACGGTCTGACCAGGGGGTCTGGAATGAGGGCGGTGCTCACCGGCATCTGCCTGCGGCTCCTTCGGCCTCTGGGCACTTTCACGATCCTGCCAGACACCGGGGACAGTGGGGACGCATCATCCCAAGACCCGTCGCTCCCCGCGGCCCCGGTGCTGGCTGCGCCCCGCTTGCTCTTCCGACGCCGCCGGTTGTGCTGGTTCAGCCTCTCCCTGCAGTTCCTGCGAATGGGTGAGGGCGAAGAGGAGGGCGTCAGGAAAAGAGCCCCGAGGCAAAAGACCGCAGGCTCCGATGAATCATCGCCACCCTTTCGACTCTAGCGCAGCACTTCAGTCCACCAGGGGTGCGCGGCGCGGGACGGGCAGGCAGGAGGCCAAGACTCGCGCCACAATGGGCACGGTTGCGAATGCGGAGTCCTACACAATGGGATCGTGGAAAGGCGCATTACTACACGCTCCGGCATCGACCGAAGAGAGCCGGGCCGAGGAGCATCCGCGGCTCGTCGACCGGCCGGCGAGAAGCGGCCCCAAAATTCCAAAGCTCTGGTCGAGGGGCCTCCTCCACAGAGGGGGCAACGGAGGCGCGACGCCCGGGCAGGCAATCGAATACGACAGCATTCGCGCTGGGCCAGTTCGACAGATTGTACTGCGGACAGGGTCGCAGTGAAGCTGGGCAAGAGGCCGAAGTCGAGCGATCCAACGCACACGTGTCGGATCCCACGCACTGCACCCCCGGGTGCATTCCAAAGCAATCCAGTCAGGCGCATGGGAGGCAATGACCAGTTCCACACAGCCCAGAGACGCTCCAATCGCTTTCTCGTAACCCCCTACAACATCTGGGCGGTGGAAGCGTGCCAGCCCAGCGGGATGAAACTGATTCGCGCAGCAAAGCCGCGACGCGAGAGGCCCAAGCCTGCAAGGCACTCAGCGCCTGCCCATCGTCCCTCTTTCCTCCCCTTGCGACGCCCTTCCATCCGAGAACCCCTCTTGGCGTACAGCGTCACCATGGACCCTGGCCCCGGTCGCCCGCCCTCACCAAGAAATCTGCGCCAGCTTGCCTCGCGGCTGCCGCCGCCCAGTGCGTTCCTCGACGAGTTAGAGGGCCGTCGCAACGCTGGGCGTCAGAGTTCTAACACAGCACCACACGATCGCCGCTATCGAGCACCTACATTCGCGACCCATGCAAAGAGCCGGAATCTGAAAACACCGTGCAGGCACCGTACGTACGAGCCACGTGCCGACGCTGTACTGGCAGGCTTCCATAGTCGGTAAGCCATTCGATCCAATTCACTAAGATACGGAAGAGGGCGCGATGTCCCGGCAGGGGGTGAAGTCACGACAACAGGCCAATTACCAAATGATCCACGTCAACTTGGCCCCGATTGCTGACTGCATGACCGACTGGGCATCCCAACGGCAGCTTGGGGGTACTTTGCGATGGCCAGGGTGACTGTCGGGAGTCTGCCACTGAGGTCTTATGGCCAGGAGCCGGGGGGCGCTCACCTCTTGTCCCCGTCAAAGTGCGAAAGGTCGTGGAAGCGCCCGCATTGCTGGCAGAAGCGCTGCAGCTTCCCATCCACGCAGATTGCCTGCATCTTGAGGTGGTCCATGCACACCCGGTACCGCTTGTAGTATTTCTTCTCCTGTGATAAATCCCGGTTGCAGCCTTGCACCTGGACATCACGGCAGGATCCGCATGGGGGATCAACGCCATGGAGGAGCGAATAGTGGAGATGGCGAAATGCCTGGTCCCGCAGCATATCCAGCTCGCGCTGACACGAGGGCCAGGGGAGCAATGTGTCCACATGTGGCAAACAGTCCCCCCAGCTTCGTCACAACCACTGCTATGTTCGAGTGGGGCACGCACTAGACTAGGAGCATCGTCCAAGCTATGCCAGCCAAAATGTTCTTGTGCATGTTGCAATTATTGTGATGGCGTCTTGTTATTCTGGAATTAGGATACAGGATGGGATATAAGCTAAGAAAGGGCACAGAGCGAAGGCAGGCAGGCAATGCAGTTTGAGGCAAAAGGAGCGATCACCACCGACGACCGATCACTCTGCAACTGGCGCACCACATCAAAAGCTAGAGCTGATGGCGCTGCTGTTCACAACTGAAGGCAGGAATGCTGTGATTTTGTGCGGCAATCCCCACAGTGGGATTCCTAGCAGTGGAATCAAGCACAACGTCAAGGAGTCTACTTGTGCACAACTGGAAAGGCATTTCCCAGTGCCTGTATGCTCAATGGTACCTTGACATTCATATTGGGGCATGATCTGCCCTGCTGCTAGGTAGGAAAGTATGGACAGACTGCCAAACTGGGGTAGTGAAAACTGCAAAGCGGAGCATGCAGTTGTGGGCTCGGATAACAAAAATGACGAGCACTTGATGTCTTGGACTTGAAACTACCTCTCCACTGCACTGGCTACTGCCATGTTAGCAGACAAGGAAAACATGCTTCCAGACAACCTTAACCACAGGAGCTGCAGGTCAATGTGTGAGCCATGGGAGTGCTTCTGCCCGCAAGTCTTGTTGAGCATCTTGACACTAAAAAGGGAGGGAGGGCCAGGGCAGGATACGTTGTGGAAGCTGGTTTGAAGGATAGACGAGCATACTGTGTACTTCTGCTTGGGGACAGGATGCTCTGCTGAGCTTGCTGATATCTAGAACCCAAGATTGCTGTGCTGCAACAAAGAAATCATAAGGATGAGATTTCAAGAAGTGATGGCTTGTTGGCAGAATCGGCTCGTTCTGCAAGGGAAAGCTTCCAGTATTCCGAAGGGGTTGGCCATTTTTCAGTGCAGTAGCTGCTCCTCCAGGAGCCATCCAGAGCGGTTGAGGGTCCCAGTTTTAGATGTTGCCTACTTTGTTCTAACCGACTACATATACAAGTCAATTACCGCCACAGCATGGGCTTGGGCACATCGAGCAAGTCTAACGTCCAGCGTGATCCACTGATATTTCAATGCTGGAAACACGCCTTGCCCTTCACGAGCGAAGGGGGCAATCGTGGGTATTCATTAGGGCTGTACAGATACTGGGCAGCTTCGCAATTCCGATTTTGAGCAAAGCATTCTCTGCTGATGACATGCCTCTACGACGCCGCGCTGGTCTCGTGCCTTGCTAGCCTTCGCAGGCGACTGTTGTTGAGTGCGGGGCGCGGCTGTACAAAGTACAGCACGTGTACCTTACGCACGTGCGGGCCGCGCCCCACCCCCAACGCCCCCCTGTACTGCCAATCTCCGACACGGCACTTAGGTACCTGGCGTGACACAGGCAACACCAAGCGCAGAACAGCCACCGTTGGATAGCCCAGAACCATTCAAAATCTGGCGCTAAATTTGGCGGCGTCCAAACACCAGCAGACCCCCCAATACTCTGGGCGAGGACGGAGGCAACTGCCAGCCTGGTTGAGTGGCGCCTCAATCTACTGCGAACGCGCGGGTGCTGTGGCCCGTCGAGTGTCGGTCGAGAGGACACGGTATGCACGGCAGCACGACGGTCCGGAGCGGCGGCAAAAACGCGCGAAGCCTCAGAACCGTAGTGCCGCTCGCGTCGGCGCCCACCCCCAAACGAACAACCCCTTACCCCCAACGGGGAGCCAGCCAATCCCGCGCAGTGACAGCCACGGCGGGCAAAGCCGTGGTCATCGGCAATATCTCTGGGCGCACTTGGGAAGAAACCGTCTAAGGCAGGGGGTGGCTTCTGGCGCGCAAGCGAGGCTGAACAGGAATATTGGGGCCCCACAGGCCACTGCACGCTACGGGCCAGTCCATGCGATCGCGTGCCCCTCCGTTTTTCCAGCCGGTCGGGTGTTTCCGTACCTGGCACACCAGCGGTCCCTTGTTCCCCTTCGATGATGAAGGCCGCGTTATGAGCACCGGAGACGCCAGGTTGCCGCCCTCGCCCTCGTCTGCGGCAACGGCAAAGTCCCAGGGTCAGGCCACGCGGGCCACAGCACGACGATCCCGGGTGCCAGGGACCTCGTACGGAACGCGCCCCGCCCCTCCCCCCCCCTTCCGTACGGATGTGACGGACGGCCGTTGGGATACGACAGCGGGTTGGCGCCCAGCGAAGGCGCCACCCCCTCGGCCCGACCAGCGCGAATCGGCTCGCGATCTTGCCGCCCGGGCCGTCCCGAACAGCCTTGGCCTCCCTGGCGCCGCCTGCCGCCAGCAGCGTCTTTCTGTGGTCGAAAGACAGGCGCCCGATTCCCCCACCCGGACCCCCAGCACGCCCGTCCGCGCGCCACAACCAGCGCGCTCCCCCGGCCCCCCCCCGCCGGGCGCTGCTCCGCGCAGGCAGTTCGCACCCCCCGCGGGGGGTGGGGGGGGGGAGCCGGCATCCCCCACCCACGTAGGTTTGACTATTGGCCTCACACCTTCGGCCCGGAGCTCACCATCTCCGCAGGCCATCTGGTCGCCGGCCCGGCCCCCCTTGTGGTCGCACGGCCGGTCATCCACCTCGCCGCCCGGCCCCTCCTCCTGCTCGCCGGCCTCGCACTCCATCTCGTCGCCACCACCTGCCGGGGCCGCCTCATGGTCGTACCGCTGGGCTGCTGCGGCCCCCGCGGGCGGCCTACCTTCAGCAGCCCCGCCCCCTTCCGCCTCCACGATCTCGGTCGCGTCCATCTCCTCTGCGCTGGGCACCTCCCCCGCCCCCTTGGGAGGGGTCCCTTTTCGGGGGGCCCCGTCGGCGCTCCCAGCGTCGCTGTCACCCATGCCCTCACCCCACCCACAGCCGCCGAAGCACCTCCGCCCGGCGCCGCCAATCGATGCCCCGATGCCCGCCACAGGCCCACCGGGCCGTGCGGCCGTTCCGCGCCCAGCCCAGGAGCGCCCCAGGTTATGGATTCCCCCGTCAGCCCGACGCGCTGCCGTCCCACGGTAACTGAGTCGTGGAGGCCTCCGCTACGGCGCCCTGGCCGGCTGCCGCGCAGCCCCAAGCAGCGGCCCTGCCGCTGGCACGCAATCCAACCCTCCGCTTGCCAGGCGCGCTGGCCCGGCTGGCATGCGCCTAGCCGCCCGCCACTCTTTTGCGATGGGGCCTGCCCTGCGCAGACCGGTGGGAAATGGGGAGATGATGGCCGAGGAGGGGAGAGGGCGCAGCCCGTACGCTTCGTACGCGATGACAAAGCGCTGCCTCAGGCCCGCGGGGCCCAAGTATTGGTGGGGGGCAATGATTGCGGCGTCCCCCGAGGATGTGGGGGACAGCGCGCCCGACGAGGGCGCTGGGCGGCCCGCACACCTGATGTGGCCCGTCATCCTCGGATACAGCTCGTGGGTTCAATACAGGAGGGGCACCCACAAAGCGCCTTCGAAACCGCGCGAGGCCCCAACAGCGCCCCTGTCTTTGGGTACTGTTCGCGCAGCTGCATAATGACCACCATTTCACTTGGTGGATCACTTATGACTCAGCTGGCAATGGACTCGCGTCTGACGCGTATTCTGACTGTGTGGGATGGCCCGAGTATGAAAAACCGGCTAGAAAAAGAAAAAACAAGAACAGAAACAAAAATTGGTCAAGTGCTTGCGGTTTTAGTAGTATAGCAAGCTGGTCGTAAGAACCGAGAGGAATTAATGCCCCAAGGGAGCTTGGTGATGACTGAGCGAAATCCTATGCATCAAGAATATTCAATGAAAGCTGCCTCTCCAGTATTGACTGTGGCTCTTAATTTCTGGTGGGGCTATGTGTCCTGAATAAGGATACTGCCCAGTTTGGGCGTGTGTCTATCCTCAAAGCCACTCCTCCTTGGCTAATAGGTTTTTGGCCTAAAGAAGGCTATAAGAAACCATGCATAACCGAAAGCTTGGGCCCACACCTGATGGCTCTTTCCACAATGGATTACCCCATGCTAAGGTTGCATGTGTACCGCACTAACCGGTACCCGGGGGTATCGACAACCCCCTACAGTAACTGGCCCAAGAGGGCTACGGTTACGATAGTGTAGGGGTTAGAGTGCTTAGACCGGCACAAGGGCGGTGGCCACCGGTACCTGGGGTACCCCCAGGTACCGGCGCTCGGGTGTGGCCCCAAGTACGTAGTACTTGGGGTCCGGTGCTGAGTTAGAGGTGGCCACCCGGATCCGTTAATAGCGGACAGAGGTTAATTTCCGTTAATTTTCCGTTAATTAACGGAAAATAACAAAAAAAGACAAAAATTAACCAAAAATTAACGGATTTTTGGATTTTTTGGGGATTTTAAGTTTTAGTCATACTTATAGTTTATAGAATTCGCTATTAGAGAGTATGTTTGTATTTTATTTCAACCTATGCATACTAGATTTTCAACTAGCCGCAATTGTTGTGATTTTTTGGGGGTTTTTTTGATTTTTTTGGATTTTTTTGTTTTTTCTGAATTTTTCTCCCTTTTTCTTTAACGAAATTTAACGGACAGCTGATAAAAATTAACGAACCAGATTTAACGGATCGGATGGCACCTTTGAGTGACCACCTCTATGCTGGGTCCCGGCTTAATGGCCTTCGAGCGCCCGCACTGGTAGCTCTCTCTCACCCCCTGTTGCGCGCTACCGCGCAACAGCATGTTTATTCATTCACCAGTCACCCACAACTGAAATATTGTTGTGGAGAAAACATACATATTGGTTGTGATGTTGCCCCTTTTATTGCATCACCTTGCGTGGTTTTCAGCTCGATCCGCGGACGATGTGCCCGCCGCGGCGCCCAATCCAGCCCGAATGGGCTTCCTCCACCGAATGACGGCAGGCGGTCCGGGGCGCTCGTTCCTTCGGGGTGTGCAGTGTGGGCCCAGTCCTGCGATTGGCCGGGCGCGGGGCGGCAGTGCGCGCAGTGGGTGCCCGACGCCGGTGCGGCCTGTAAGTGCAGCCGCGCGGTGGCGAGTGGTCAGCAAGAGTTACAACCGTCAGGCATCGGGGCCACCCTTTGGCGTGCTCCACATCACGTGACAATGCAGCGCATCGATAGTATCTCATCCCCCAATACGGTGCGAAGGTGGCGTGGTTTTCGGTTCGATGCGGGCGATGGCGCCCGCCGAGGCGCCCAGTGAGGCCGCGAGGCCTCCTCCGCCGGATTGCCGGCAGGCTTTCCGGGGCGCTCGTCTCTTCGGGTACGCAGCGTGGGCCCAGGCCGCAGGGATGGCCGGGCGCGGGGCGGCTGTGCGCGCAGTGGGTGCGTGGCACCGTGCGGCTCGCGGGTGCAGCCGCTGGGAGGCGCGAGGCAGGGGAAACAACGGTTACAGTACTGCGTCTGGTGGTCACCCTTTTGGGGTGGCCACCAGCGCGTGTCACGTGACAATGCAGCGCATTGTATCGTATCATGTCCAGCGATAGTATCTCATCCCCCAATACGGTCCAGGAGAGGGCCCTAAAGTACTAGATATTCAACTAACCATATCTCCTCAACCGCTAAGCCAATTAGAGTGGTTCAAAAACCTATGGACTCCAAACAGAGTCTACTTTCACCTGAGATACCATAATCACTGTACACTTCACTTCCCAGCTCCCATATAGAGAAACATTAACTACCCCTTGTAGTTTACACCACAGTACTTCCCCCTTGGGGTAGTTTCGCCCTCGAAACGTTCGGCGAACCAGTGGACCTAATTATCCTCTACTGGTTTGTCCCTCTTAATCATCTTCTTCAATTCCTCTGGGCAAGTGAAGTTCTCTTCTGGCGTCCAAGAGGCATCATCGAGTGAATAATCCTTCCACAACACCAAAAACTCCTTCTGCCTCTTGGAACTAGGGCCGGTCCACCGCCAACGCAGTAACTTCTCGATCTCATACGGCTCATCCTCTTCGGGCTCCAACTCCTCCACCTGACCAGATGTAGTGGGCTGCGTCCAAGTACTCGTCCTGAACGGGTGCAGCAAGCTGACATGGAAGACATTGTGGATCTTCCACTTTTCTGGTAAGTCGAGCTCGTAGGCCACTTGTCCCACCCGACGGACAACAAAGAATGGCCCAACGAACCGCTTCTTCAGCTTCCGGATTGGTGCATTTTTCATTTTCAAGTGCTCTGTCGAGAGCAGCACCTGATCCCCACTACTGAACCTCTGTTCCCTTCTCTTCTGGTCGGCTTGCATCCTCATTTTGTCCTGAGCCCGATGCAGAAATTGAACCGCTGTAGAGAAGTTCCTTTTCATCCGCTCCACAAATTGGTTGACTCCTTTGATCAAGGTGGAGTCACTGTCGCGGATAAGGTCCATCGGAGTACACAGATGGAAGCCATAATTTAGATAAAATGGCGTGTACCCGGTGGCCTGCGTTGGACTGTTGTTGATGACAAACTCCACGGTGGACAACAGTCGCTCCCAGTTCGAACCTTCCTGCCCGGCGTGCAGTGTACAGTGCAGCACCATCTCTACCACCCTATTCATTGCCTCAGTTTGGCCATCCGTCTGAGGGTGGTAGGCATTGGACATCCTCAAGGTGCTTCCCAGAATGTTCCACAGCTCCCACCAGAACTTGGACACAAAGCGGGGGTCTCTGTCACTCACGATGGAACGAGGAATCCCATGCAATTTTCCCACTGAATTCCAGTAGACTCGGGCAGTATCAGCAGCTGTAATAGTCTGCTTGACTGGTGCAAGGTGCACCATCTTTGTGGCCCGATCTACGATGGTGAGAATTCCATCGTTCCCTGCCTCTGATTTAGGCAACCCATTATGTAGTCCATGCTGACGTCTGCCCACTTCTGTTCTGGGAGTTTGAGAGGCTGTAAAAGTCCAGCTGGCACACGGTGGACGGCTTTCTCTTGTTGGCACACTGGGCACCCCATGACAAAGTCACGAATGTCTAGGGTGTGCTCGGGCCAATAGAAAGAATGCTGTATATTCTTCAATGTCTTGTGGTAGCCAAGATGGCCTGAGTAAGGGATTTCATGTAACTCCCTTAGAATTTGCTTTTTGATGTCTGGCACATCTGGCACCACTAGCCGCCACTGTGTCCTTCGGTGTTTGTCGCTGTCCCTCATCTCCAGTAATCCACCTGACAGCCGGTAGGTTCGATCACCAATAGTAACGTCGCTGCCCTGGGCTGATTCCAGTTGGGATAGAATGTCAGCCCAGCGAGTGTCTTGATAAAGTCCCCTTTTAATCCCCTCTCTCATATCTCTCGTCAATGAAATTCGGGACCGGGCGACCAAAATTGATGGTCCCGAACTTTCCTCCTGACCCGAAACTGGGGTCACCTCCGGACGCGTCTTTGCAAAAATCTGATCCAATTTCTTTTGAATGCTGTCGTCAGACTTGTCTTCTCCCAACAATAGCCTTTTGACCAACGACTCTTCCTCCTCCCGGACATGTACCATTTCTTTAACGTCCTTGAGACTTCTCCAGGGGAGGAAATCTGCGGGGTTTTTCTTGCCTGGTATGTGAACCAGGTCGCAATCATACCCCTGAAGAACCTGAACCCACTTCCAAATCCTCCTATTCACAGCGGGTTGATTTGGTAGGTTCTTCAATGAGTCGTGGTCTGTCTGGATGGTGAAATGACGGCTGGCAAGGTAATGCCGCCACTTCCCCACTGCCCAAACGATTCCCAGCAGCTCCCGTTCATATGCCCCATATCTTGTTTCAGCAGGATTCAGCTTGCGGCTCTCGTAGCAGATTGGTTGTAATCCTGAGCCAAAGTCCTGCTGCAAGATTGCGCCTACCGACACTTCTGATGCATCTGTTGTGACGGTGAATTCGCGCTCAAAGTCGGGGAGCTGTAGTACTGGGGCGGTGACCATAGCCTTCT